CCCTTCTCCCTCCCTTCCCACCCCTTCTCCCCTTCCCGCCTCGAATCAGTGTCCCATTCATGCCGTTGCATTGCCGATCGCGCAGGTAGGCATGCTACAGTGTGCTCGCGTGCCGTGGGGGTCAGTAAACCTCGACCGGTCATATTTTTAGACCGCATTGCTTTGTACATTTCTCTCTCCCTTGTCCTTCTCTCCACTACAGTGCCCCCCCCCCCACCCCCGTCTACCTTTTAAAGATTAAGACCACCATTTCTTGTACCTAATAGATGATTTCCTATCGTTTTCACTGCTAAGGGGTGCAGTTGTCGTAAAATTTTCGGAAATAACGTCCGGATGTAAATGCACTATAGTAAAACAAGTGTTCAAAATTTGCACACCAACGTGTTCAAAGTTATGATTTTGCATATCACATGGTGTTTAACTCGAGTTGCGCACTTGCGGTTTGTGCAACTTTTAGACGTTTTGTAAACGTTTAAAGTGTGCACACTTAGACAGACACAGTTCTACACTTTTCGAAAGTGTCGGAAGTTTGCACACCAATTGACGTACAACCTAGTTAGACTCTACCATGTGTCTAGAAAATGCACACTACTTCAACTTAAACATCAGTTGACGTGCCAAATGAAACACTTGTTTTACCAGTGTGTTCCTTACACTTTTTACACAAAAAGGATCTTACACCGAATTTAAAAAATGCCCGTATCGTAAGAGTAATATCTTTTTTTAATAAACGAAACATCAAGAATGGCGCAGTAAATAATAAATTTCGTAAGCGCTGCTGCTGGCCCTATCTCCCTCCCCTGTAATCTCCCCATAACGCCCCTCTCAGTCACATTCATTTGTTTAATCCCGTGGAGCGCATGCAGTGCGCGGGGAGGGTGGAGCCTCTTTTAATAACCCGTACTCCTTTGTTTTAACGCCCCTCCTTTCAGCACCCTTCATCCTCCCCCCTGTCCTCTCGCCCACCCTTACCCCTACCCCTTCCCCCCGACCGTTTCCATGGCCCCCGCTCTCATATTCACCTGCCACTTGCAGAAACTTTTCATTTTGTTTTTCGCCTCGTAGAGTTGAATGAGTACGTGGTGAGTCTATATATTTTTGGTTGCCCCCGGCCACACACTCAAAATATATTTCTGAAAGTACTATTTACACTGCGCTCCTAACCTCCACGCATTGCAATATACTTCACAAATTCCCGTAGTTTTCTTTAAAAGACATAGGTAATACTTTTGCTTTGTCCCGAAACACGCTGATAGGCGCCGTTTTAAGTTCGGCTGACGGAGGGGACGATTTACTGAGGGTTGCCTATTTTCAGGGGTTTCGTGGTACAAATGCCTACCTAGGGGGCGATTTTGGCTGACGGGGTAGGGGCGATCGCCCCTTCGCCCCCACCTCTCCCCTATAAAACCGCGCCTGGCTGATGGCGGCCGCGGCCGCGCTTGCCTCACGTCTCGACGCTTTAAAGCCATCATGTAATCAAGGTTTAACCGGCTCGTTATGGAAATGTAAAAAAAAAAACTGGTAGGAAAAAGAGCGGTTGTTGTTTGCGGGCGGTGGCAGTAGCAGGCTTAAGTACGGGAAAGGGAGGGGGTGGGGTGATTTGCGCGCTCGGACCGCGGAGGTTTGGGGAAGGGGAGGAGGGGGTGGTCGCCCATCCCATCCCCCCGTCAGCCCACCAGCGCTGCCAGCCCAGCGATAACTTGATTCTTATCGGAACCATCGCATCCGCGTGTGCAACGCCGTGACGGCGCCGCGCTGTAGGTCATGGTTTGCCGCTTTGCACTGTTGCCGCGAGAGAGAGTTTATTTCGCGACATTTTTTTTTCGTTGTATTTTTTTTTCCCTTGTCGTGCGCTGCAAGAGGCAGCAGCGGGTACACAACAACAACAATAATGATCTTGTCTTGGGGACCCTGCGTGGCGGGGCGGGGCGCCTGTCCCGGCCTTGGTGGCGCGGAGTCACTCGCCTTGACGGCCAACCTCTGGCGTCGCTTGGGCGTCGATTGGACATCGCCTGGGTGTCGGCTGCGTCTCGCCTCGCTTCAAAGTCATTTAGGCGTTGCGCGTATGTCTCTGTTTTGGACGTCTTGGCATATGTTTTTCTACGTTTTACTTTTAAGACCCACAATTTTATTGACCACTCACGATTACTCATCAGTGTCAATTTTTGCTTAAAGAAGACCATCCAGACATTGCACACATGGGTTAAATTGCATACAGTAATCAATACGATAATGGCCTGTATACAAGGGCACTGAAACCCCGAAATGTGCTAAATGTTTTAAAGCACCTTTAGCGCACTATTGTGCCTCAAAAAAAAAAAAAAAAACAACTTGATCAACACGGTAAATTTGCAAATGTTTTGTATTCGCATGCAATCTTTACCAAAACGGGCATCTTTTATTTGGGCAGAGACAACCATTACAGGATGGACCGTGTATTAAAAGCAGTGCCGTATTTATCGCCCAATTTTGTATTTTGTGGGTGGAGGCATGGGGGGATGGAATGTGTTTGGTTGTTGTTTAGGAAGTGATCACTGATCGCGACCTTCCTCTCCAATCCCATGCGATAACCTCCGGGTGCCCGGGAGGAGGGAGGGGGGG